GGCAAGTGAATGAATGATACGTTTTTCCATAACTGCATGACGACGGTAATTATGATGGTATAAGCCAAACAGCAAAGCAGACGTGCAGACCTGCTTTACTTTTCTACTTTCGCACATGACTGGCGAGCAAGGTTATGCCACAATCGATAACGAACATGAGAGATGCATTCCTGTATTGCATGCATGCATGTAGTAAAATACCATGTGGCCGTGGCCTGTTTAAGGAGATGACCTGAGGAAAGATTGCGTATTACTTTTATGAAATAACCGTATTCAGGAAGAACGAACTTATCGCAGCTTTAACTGCAGCCGATTCATATAATCTATCCTGATGAAATTAACTGTGTTGTTAACGAAACTCCAGAGCGAAATGAAATACATGCTGAGAAATCTGCTTTCGTGTTTGGGCGCCTTAACTTAGAATCAGCATAAGACACGCATACGAAAGTAAATCAATGACCAAAAGCTAACACTTGGCTAACTGCAGATTCGGGGTTCAACGAGACGCGATCGTCCACAGTCTTTTCGACGGCTTCCAGACGCACCGGGTCGTTCATGGCATTTCCGAACACAACGTTCGCAACTGATTCCGTGGTATCACTGCTACAGCCAGAAACCGGTTTCGAAGACGCCCTGTCTGCAAGGTAGGAGGGAACGGTTTCGTTGTCTTAAAAAAAAGAATACAGCTAAAAAAGCCAAAACAATACGACAACAAAGAAAACATATGACGGGAAATTCCGTTCAAAATCGAACCAACCCCAGCTGCGTTATGCCATTACTACTTCTGTTAAACATTAAAACCACAAACTCAGTTGAACTGTCGATCAAACAGCCGATAAAATAAGGTACGTCTGAAAAAACGCAAACGCAAAAAAGCCACTACAGAATGGCTTGTTTTCATCTGCTTCGGCAGCTGATTTTCTGACAAGAAGTCTGAATCGTCCCCTAATGAATAAGCGGCTTTTGATCTGTTGTATATCGCTAGCATCAACAGTCTTCCTCGCAGAGAATCGTCAGCGATAAATATGAGAAAATTGAGGAAAATAGCGATAAAGAAATAAATGGAAATTCAATCCATAGAAACACAAAAGAGCAAACGGTAGCTAAACAGAAATAACGAAAACAGAAGTAAAAAAACAAAGAAAGAAAAAGACAGAGAACAGAGATATAAACGCATGTAGACAAAAATGTTAAGGGATACATTAGCACATCATTTTCATTTTAACAGATGTAAGAAGGAACCACATGTACTGTTAATGTCGAAGAAGAGTTATTTGAATAGTTCCCTATCAAGTGTGTAGCTCTCCAGGTAGATGTGCCTTTTTCTTTGCCATTCAACGTTCCTCTCGATTTCCTTCCCCGAAAGAATGGTGCAAACCTGGCAATGACAAAGGTCTCATTCTACAAAGAAAGAGCAGTTCAAGATACCTGATTCGACATCTTACTAACCTGAAGTATGCAGACCATATTGTTCCTATGCGTAGTATCGGAAACGAGCTTCGTCACCGGATAGCTCCCGTATGCAACACAGCTGTGAAAGAAAGCCTATTTCTTAATGCCCGGAAGTTATGAAAAACCCATTCCGCACAGTTGATCTACAATTTGAAAAAGAATGGAAAGTTTTAGGTGTCCAGTCTAAGCATCTCAGCTTTATCATCTCCAGCGATAGCACTGTCCAGCCATAGTTAAATATGGGTCGCCCTAGCCCGAGTGCCTTTTAAAACCTGTCCAATATTTATGTGGAGAACGATGTAAGACTTTCTACTAAGATCCGCCTGTATCTTGTCTGCGTTGGGTAACGCTGGAGACAGCTGCTCTAACGAAAGAGCAAAATAATAATTGAACTGCGTGCATGCAGGCTTAATTGGCAGGACTATGTAAGAAATGAATGTTCTTTTCTGGGCACAGGTTATGTCAGTGGGCGTGGAGATTAAAAAAGAATGTTGGCTCTGTTAGATAAACTGGTTGAGCACACAAAATCTGTTCCACTCTAATGAGCGTTTCGTATGGTAGCTAAAACACGGAAGATGTCGACCAAGAGGCCAGCATGAAATATGAATGAACAGAGTAGACGTAAGTCTGCATTCGGAGAGGAATATTACGTTCTGCAATTCAGCAACCGGTGCCTTATAGCAAAAGTGTCTTAAAGCTACGAACACAACAAATGTGACAAGCCAAAGACGTTCTGCTTATACAAAGACTCAGGGAGATGATGCAAACACAGAAAAGAAAAGAAAAATAATCATAAAGAAAAGGCGTGATACAGATGGAACGAGACAGGTAAACAGACAGAAAATGGAATCTGTCAGGCGCTAAACAGACTTAGGTGTCACTAAAAAAGAGACGGGTTCCTTGATCTGAAAGATAAAGGCAAGTAAGGCAAGTAACATGCAAACGCTGTGAAAGCTGATCCGAATGGGGGCAAACTAGTAGGCCTAACTGTCAAGCGCAGTAGTAACAGTATGGTTAAATGTCCAGATGAGGCAGTGGACTTACCTGAGGCTTAAGCAGTAATGTAGTAAATACCGCTGATTAAAGGTCTGAACTGTACAGTGAACCAGTTGTTTCACACCGTTATGAAGCTTATGTCAGTGTTTGGTGCCGGGGTAGGAGACTCGACGTGTCCTTCGCTTTAAGCAGACTTCACTGGAGCACTTTTTCCAATAGGCCACTGTACTATTCTCTTCCTGTCGTGAGAGAATCATCACGAAATAAATAGTCTCAAGGAACCTACAGTGGAAAGACTTGCAATACAGTGCTGGATGGAAGACGAACAAGAAGATCGACGGCTAAACTGCTAGGTACAGTAAACACCTGGGCACTGTTGCGCCTCAGAATCCAATCTATTGAATCCACCTAGTTGGCAGAGGAACAAGGCGATAAGAAAACCGTTCCAAAATGCTGACCCCACGACCTGATACAGAACTCAGAAGCTGACCGAATAAGAGAAAAATTACTGTTAATGTTAGCCTTCAACGACATTACAGTGAATTTCTTCTGGCGTTCCAGCTACAACGGCAATTATTACTGGAAAATTGCATCATACGCTGCGCACTAGGATAAAACAAACTATGACGATCAAAACAGATTTTCATAAGTCATTAGCATATCTTTAGTTCATCAAGAATTTTGCTTGTGCGTTGGTAGTATTAATTTTAAAAATAGCAGAAAATGATTATAATGAATTACATTATAATCCACGCAACATAGTCCATAGGATGATAGACCGATGCCGATGTTGCGACCTGAACTTGAAGGGCCTTCTTCACGGTACAATTTCGGAATGTATTCGATTGTTGTTGACGTTGGTTGCAGCAAAAGTTCGTTTTAATTTTTCGTGCTGCTTTTCATTTTCAGTGCTATTTTTCTAGTTCCTCAGCTTCTCAGTCCTGACGACTGATAAGATCGGTACTGTTCCGACAGCAGCTGGATGAAAATATTTCGAATTCAAGTGTTCTTTGGGCCTTGATGCAGTGAAATGCAAAATTCTTCTCATCGTCCCGATTGGGAGACAATCGGCAAGAAATTCTGAACAAAATACGGCTTTGGGAAAAGCAGCGTATCAGCGAGCCGTAAGTCTTGATGTGCGGCTCAGCGATCGACAGCCGTTTACAAGCACGATATCCATACAACTAGTCAGAGGAGAAACTGAGAAACGCAAAGAACTCAACTGCAAACGACAAAAGCTGAGGAACGACGTATAATTTACTTTCGACCGCCACGTCCGACAATGGTGTGACAACGACGGCCTGTTGTTCGTGCTGAATCGCGTCCGCTTCGTACTCTTCGATCATCGAAATGCCGAATATTCGAATCAGGCTGACGGTACAGAAATGCTCGACACCGTGGTGCGTCAGGAAATCGATCTGAAACGAACAAACGATGAAACGAATGTCAAGCAATGTCTGAGGGGTAACGAGGTGGCAGAGAGGAGAAGAAGAAAAAGTGAACGCCATAACACACCCGGATGTATTTCGTGTAGTACTTGGTCTGCGGCATGGCGAACGCCTGGATCTGGCGGTTGTCTTCGGCGGTGAACTCGCCAAGCCCCTTCCACTCGGTGGCTGGATAGCGCTCGCTTATCGAAACGCGGAACTCATTCGGGTTCGAAGAGAATAGCTCAAAGTTCGCCAACTGGACGTTCGTGATCTGAACGGTTTCGCACAGCTCGATGACGATCCACTTGGCTTCGACGCTGCACGGATTGAGCATGTACTCGTCGCGCTCCTTCTCTGAAAACCAACGGACCAGCGGTACACAACTGTCCTGTTTCGCAACCGTCGACGTCGATGCTCACCTTTCAACACGGCGCTTGGATTCTGCGCCTCGGTGTTGCTGGACAGGATCTTTGCCCCGCAGTCCTTGGTGGCATAGTTTCGCGTGGCCAAAGGAACGCTGGAGCTTTCCTCGTTGACAACCGGGGTCTGAAGACCTGAAATGCGACGATGTTCATAGCGAGTGTCGGTTGAAAGACAAACAGCACCACAACTTACCAGCAGGCTTATGCAACTTTTCTTGCAGTTTCTGGGCCGTCCACTCGTCGAATGA